AAAAAAAAAAAGGAAAGAAAGAAAGAAAAAGAAAAGTTTGGGTCCGATCATCAGTAACCTAAAAGAAAAATAAAATAAAATAAATTCAGGAAGGGGGAAAAATTAAAACAAGATTAATTAAAACAAAAGAGAAAAATCAAATAATAATCATTAAAATGAATTAAAAAAAAGATATATATATATATATATCCGTAAATACAAAAAAATTACAAAAATAATGGTAATAATAGTTGACAGGAAGAGGACAAAAAGTCAGAATAATCAAAAATCCAAATACAGAATCATGGGTAGCTAGCTCCGTTTAGCATAGCAGCTCCCTCCCGTCCCGGGGGGAAGGTACGCGACAAGCTAGTTGGGTGTGGATGCGATCCATCGACCCCCTTTCTTTCTCTTTCTTTTCTGGCTGTGTTCTGCGCGCCGCCCCAAGGTTCCTGTCCCAACGTTTGACTGACGGCTACGGTCCCAGGCACCTGGAAGGTAAGGTATTTTCCCCCGTAATTACGGTAATTTCCCTTTGTCTCTCCCCTTGCCCATCTCATTGCTTCATTGATGAGTGTGTCTTACTACGACGTCTTACCTGAGATGATTCTGACGGTTTCAGGCTTATTTCGTCCTATCTTACTCCGTATTTGTTCTGGCTAAAGTCAAGGGACTCAGCGCTACAGCTGATGGCTGATTTTTCAGGACGCCCACGGGATCGTTCGGAGTCATCACAACCTAGGTTCCTTTCTACTAGGGTAGGAGTCTGTTACGAATAGAATCTAGCCTGGAAAGAGTATGGTAACGGAAGAAACCTATGTAATACGACAGCGTCCCATAGCTACCGACCTATGACTACGAATGGGGAAAGGAAACAAGGGAAGAAAATCGGAGCTCTCCACCAAAGTGCTCCGTATATAGGTAGTACTACTTGGTTAATTAAAAGCTACCTAACCTTCTGAGAACCGACTTCTCGGACACAGCGGACTGGCTTGTTGCAGGGTATGAGTGGGGAACTTACAGCCGCTTCCAGGAACCGCGGATCCATCCGAACCAACACCAATGGGGCTTGTCTCGATTGCTCTCGCGTGGTGTTTCGGGGGGGTGGATGGGTTAAGTTACCTATGGATCAGTGATTTCCCCAAGCCCTATACTATCCCCTCGAGAAACCCTTTGGCTAGGCTTCTTTATTTGTTTACCCAATCCGGCTTACTCTTACCGGTTTGATCGTCTTGACGTATTCCGTTTTCCCAATTTTCAGGCGGAGTACCTAGTGTGAGGCACCAATACTTGCAGTGACTGTCATGAAAGGCAATTGTTCCTTTAGACATGGATGCGTAGTGTATGAACACCTGAGCGAGAGCTGTCCATGCAGCGACATGTACTCCATATGCATGTACATATCTACTCGATGTCGAATGAGGAATCACTAGTAGATGTTATGTGGCGCCATGTTTGATAGGTAAGGTCTGCACAAAGTACGCGGGTCAAAACCTAAGGCACCGGAATTGGTAAGGATATCGACTAGGGTAGTCGGTCGTACCTTTGGTAAGTTATAGGTACGAGCTAAGGTACGTATTGTAAATGGAGGTTCCCCATAGAACCAATCCAGAAGCTTTTGTTACCCGGTACCTGCTGTAGTGGACTACTAAGTCTCGGGAGACTATCGTAACCAAGATCATTGTTTATTGATTCGATACTTCCCTTTTAGTTTGATCCACTACTCCCCTGACTGATTCGGTGGCGATTGGTTGTGTTGTTTGCCGAGTTGAGCTCTTGTTTGATGATGTATGGATGGCTACGATTTTGTATTGCATTGCCATCAAGGAAGAAAGAAAGAAAGAACTTTGACCATGCCAAACAGAGTACATTTGGTTATTTCCTTGTTGCCAAATTTACCTCAGTCTTTATTATTCTATCTCTTCCCATTAATCCCCGGTCACCAGGGAAATCAGGGCTACCTTTAGCAATAGGGGCACCGGTGGATCCTTCTCATAACGATCAATGATCCGGTAAACCCACAGTTACCCGCCCCGTTACGTATTATATGCGACCATCATTCTTCTCACGACCTTCTAGTGCTTCTAGTGTATTGTCCGTCAATTCCCCCCGCGACCATCAGAGCAACTTATTTGTCCTCCGGATCAAGTCACGGTTTTCCTCCAATGGCTGCGGTCCTTCTAGATTTTTCTCTCCTGTTTCACTGGATTTGTCCCGGGGTAACGCCGCTGATCGACTGATGTACCCCGATTTACCTCCTGGATCATGGATTGATTGTATTGCTACTAAGTTGGGTTAACTTCAGAGGGACTGTCTCCATCGGCAGGTCCCAGAATGCAGAACGTATGGAAACCTGTAATTTACCACTCCACAATTTGACCGCCCACTGAGCCTCGCCACAATGGGGCAGAGTATCTCCAACGGAAGAGGGCGGCAGAATGGTTGAGTTCAAGGTTCTGCCGAGTTGGCTCAACTCTCCAGCCACAGGATTCACACTGCAAATTGTGGGTTCTCTTTGTTCTGGCCTGTCCTGGACCAGATGTGAACAGAAACGTTTGATGTTTGACAGGGTTCGCTTACTTAATAGTTGCCTTAGCGGCCACATGTTTCAAATAGAACTGGACATCCGTTTGTAACCCAACTGATCAATTGATTATCTAGGTACTTTGACCACGACGGTAAAAAAAAAAAAAAAACCACCTGGCAAGACGCTTGTCAAATCAGACAAAGAAGCGTTGCAACGGGTTTGTGCCTCAGTAGTTAATCACACAGCCAAGAGTTACATCGTTCCAATGGGAGGAAAGTGACATGTAGATTGGACGACGCTAGTGCTTCAGATGGTACCTTTTTGTCGCCTTCTGGACAATGAACACATGCACAATCAACCCCGAACAAGCCACTTGACAGATTACATGGTTTCAGATGAACTCGTCATCGCCCAATACGGGATACGTGACAGAACAAGCAGGTTGCCAACAGGTGTGATTCCAGAATCCTTCTGGAAGTCCATCCGAATGGTGCGGTACCATGGTTCCATCGCGGATCGTGCCATGAGCTTATGGGGCTTCCCTACATAGTATGCTGGATACGGAGACGTTTTGTCTTGCTTTTTTTTGTTTAGGGCGCAGACCGGAGATTCCCACCCTAGCCTTCTCGGGTATTATAGTCGATCGAATGACTCAGATAATACAGCTAAGACGACACTAGAAACTGGAGAACAAAGGAAGGAGTCTAAAGAACCGTTGGACTCGCCCACTTCGAGGCCGGGACGGGGAGTTGGCTGTTGGTTCCGTTTCCGCGCCCTCAATCAGGCATGGTCGATACTATTACTGTTAAAGGTAAATGATTGTGGTAATATTTATTAGCAGTTATTAGATAATTATTGAGGCTGTTAGACGAGCCTTCGCTGCAGGTTCGGGCAATAGGCAGGGAATCTTTGTGGATCAATCGGTTACTGCCAAGGCCATCGATTACTACGGAGTACTCCGTCCAGTGCTTTATTCTAACACAATAAAACCCGGTGCGCTGTATGCATGAACTTGTCTGTATTTGAAGAGTTTATCTTGTTAGAAATATCACAAGCCTGGTATTATAGACAGTCGAGTTCAGTGCCACTATAGGGTAACTCACGGTGGCGGTCAATATATTTCGACCAAATATTTGTCTTAGTAGAGGCAAAGATAGTTTCAATATCCATTGAGAGCCAGAAATAAATTACTAAAGGCTTGAACGGATCAACTATAGCAAAAGCCGCATAGTCTATAAGTATGTGATATCCTCCAATCTCTATTACGCAGTACAAATAGCAAACATAGATCTGGATGCATCAAATTCAAGCTCAATTGACGCATAACCGAAAGAATGGATAAGAAAGTATCGTCAACCAAGCCATGACGGTACAAAAGTACCTTGTGAGGAGTATGTACTTCCTCACAGACACAGATACATTATCGCCACAAACATTCTTCAACAAGCTGTTACTGTGCCACAACTGATGGGTCAGATTGATCCTCTATCATTGGCCTTACATGTTGAGACATCGATGCGGACTCCTCATCTTTCGCGGAACCAGAATCCTGGGAAGGGGAGAATCAGAAAAAAAGAGTTTGCTATGATCAGCGGGACACATCCGGACGAATCAGATGCATAATAGACCCCGCCACAGGTAGGGATAGTGCGTTATTGTCAATCATCCATGTGTCTCCTCGCGTCTGGATACATATCCACTATGAAGCCACAATCCACTCCCATGCAGCCTGTCGGTCATCGATTGATAGGTTATCCACCGGATCGACATGAAGATTGTGTCCGACGTATTACCGAGCGAAGCCGTGGAGTTGTCTCCTTCCTACCCTGTCGGCAATATGTATGCAACCTGTCTGTATGTAAGGGGGGAAGCATTCCAGTCTCCAGAGCTGCAGATGCACGATTATCATCGATCGATACAGCGACGCCACTCCTCAGGGCCCAAGGGTTGGTGTCCAGCATTCGGGTCTTGCAACTTTCTTGTATATATTCCGATTATTTGTGGCTGGGTGTGGTGTGGTTGTAGTACTTTGGCTTGTACAGTACTTTTATCATCTGTTTCCCACCCACCCACTCACCACACCCCCGACTGCCACACATGCCTTGGGTCACCTCATCAAACCCCATCACAAACATGCCCAATGACCAGTACTACACAGTGCTCTATCAGAACTGGGATATCGCTGATGGACGGTTCTGGATCGCATGGTACCGGGACTATGGAAACGGTCGCGCGGGTGGTTTGGATCTAAATCAATGGGGTTCATCATGGCATTACCGCAACCATTTGCCTCGTTGGGTAAGAACTGCGATGGACGGGCTGATAGTACCCAATAGTCAGGGTCAAACGTCCGAGGTGATAAAAAAAGAGGTTGAAGACGGAAAGTTTTGAATATCCTACGGAGTAGACAGGCGAAGTAAGTTCTGGCCCGAGACGGGGAAGAGGAACTGAGGTTCCAGAATGGCGGGTGGATGCGTTAGCTTCCTTCGTCCTGGACTTGCCTGGTAGAGACAGCTCTTCTAATTTCTGGATGTTTGACATGATCTACATTCTACATAGTCCGGCCGGCTCCGTCACCGATAGAGCAATATGATTAACCCGACTATTCAAATGATCCCCGGACGGCGTGGGAACACTATAGGAACACTGCAGATAGGGCAGTCCCAGTTGTCCATGAGATAGGTAATAACCACCAAGGCTGACCGGCTTTAATTTTAAATTACATGGGATTTTCGATCCACTGTCTGATTGGTAATGACCTTACCGATCAACTCCCCCTTCTAGAATTCCAACCCGTGGCTTTTGACGCTAAAAGTCCGGCTGCATTTCCGCGCTGTTACTAGTCGTGACCCAAGCCCGGGATGCATGTGAGGCTCCCACCAAAGTAAATTAAAAAATAAAAATGTGTATTTATTTACCAAGAAGAGTTCTTGGTAATCTGTACGAACCAAAGAGTGGAGCTTGTCCTTCCACTTCCGCTTTGGTCCCGAATGACGGGTTCCTGCCTCTCGTTTCTCTCGCCTATTGCAATGATGTAGATCTCCGAGGTTCTATTCCCATTTAATCGGTACTATTCGAGGTACCAGTTTCGACCCGAGGTGGTTGCTGAGGGAATAAAATGTATCTATTATATGCGAGGAAGTTTCAGTATGATAGGGTGACATTATTTTTATTCTATTTGTAATCTTATCTTGTTTTAATACATACATATATACATATGTATGTATGAATATTCCAGACGTATCCAGAGAGACGCTCATCTCGTTAAATCAATTGGCTGGGGGCGATTTGGTTTGGAGGTTGAGCAAAAGAATGTGATTGATCTACAATGCAGCAAAAGCAAAAGAGGCTGGCTGTCTGGGAAAAAAAAGTCCACTTTTTTCTATTCCCCGACATCACCGATAGATTGGAAAATGAGTGAAAATCCAAAAGCCACAAGATTATTTTTGCTCTATGTTTTGAACCTACTGCAGAAATATGCAAACAATACACATTCCAATTGTCATCAACCCTTCCCCTGTTTCAATCCCATCCAACCAATAATCAATAGTGCAGCAAGGCAAAGGTCTCCTGCTTGGTGATCAGACCTCTTCACCCCAATTCCTGGCTTTCCTTGTTTCACAACAGATCGGTCGATCTTGGGTTCCTACATGACCAATCTTTGACTTGAGGTGATCGACTGCAGAAATGAGGTACCGACAACCAGGCACAGCATACCCGCCCTGCGAGGACCGAGGCACGGTCCAGACCTTGTCTTGTCCTTTTCAGACATGATTCATTGAGGTACCCCAGCCATTGATTGTTGTGCAAATGCAATGGTCCGGGGCATTTGGAATGAATCATGCAGCAACATTCTCTTGTCGTGTGCTCTGTTTTTTTTTTTTTTTTTTTTTTTTTTTTTTTTTTTTTTGAGGTTACAGTTGTGGATGTGGCGGTTGGACAGGTCATTCTGGTGGTGTTTTGCCACTAAAGTATTGGTCCTCTTCGGGCAATTTCCTTCACCCTTCAGGGCTGTCAGCTAAAAAAGGGTATTCCAAATGCACTGGTGATCCGTGTTCTCGATATGGGAAGGTAATTATATAGCATTTTCCGTGGCGAAAATCTTTTCGCATGGTTCTGGTACACAGTATATACCCTATCATAATGCTGAAAGGAGATAAGCGAGAAATGATAGCTATAGCGATGTTAGTATCCCAGACCATCTATCTAGGCTGTATAATTGTACATTCCCCAGTTGGAAGTGACAACATAGTTGACATCTAACACCTGCGCGCTCACTCACATCTTTTTCGACTTTTTCCTTCCTTTTCTTTTCTCTCTCTCTCTTTCAATAGGCTAAGTTAATATCACAACCCTCTGATTGGCTTACTGAACATCGAGAAGAAATATATATGACACTGGTCCGTCAATTATGAAAAGAGCGGCCGAACCAGTAGTCAGTCATACATTGCAAACTATGAATCGAAGCCAACCCATTAGGATAGGATAGATAGGGTAACGTGATTGATAAATGACGATATTATGCCCCAGACACCCCAGAATTGGCGAACCCCCTGACTGTGAACTTCTGAGACACCACACCATCATGATCCATTATTACTTCCGTGTGCTAAGATGCAATTATATGCCATTTCGAACTTAGAAAACGCATTAGCCAGTGTGCTTGAGATTAGAAGAAGAAAAAGAAAAAAGACTTATTCTCACCTGCTCATCTGTCTGGCAGACCATCACACGTGGTCCACTATCACCTACCTTGGAGATATCCATCACCGTCTGGTCATCGGACGGCCCTTTATCATTAGCTGATGCATCAATAGCTACCCCTAGGCACTGGCATTTCTCGACGATAGTTTTCCTCAGTAAGGCACTCTTCTCGCCGATTCCGCCGGCGAAAACGAGTGCATCAACTTTCCCTTCTAACTTGACAAAGTAATTACCTATGTACCCCAGAATACGGTCGACGAGAATGTCGAAAGCAAGCTTATGCTCTGGACTTGGAGGATTCTCAACAGCTATCTGGGAAAAATCTGTAGTTCCAGTGAGCGCTTTCCATCCGGATTTCTTGTTGAGAATTTCTTCAGCCTGGATGGACCTAAGTCAGCTAGCCGTTTGCTTCTGTCAACCAGTCTCAGGGACCTACCGTGCTGATATGCATTTCTTTAGTGCTCGCAGGGCTCAGCTTTCCTGCCTCGCTGGTGTAATGAAACACAAGCCTGCCAAACACACATTAACCATTTTAGTTCAGAGCTAACTTTCCGATGAAACTCACGATGGATCAATATCACCACTACGGGTGGCGCCAGGTAAGCCAGCCAAGGGTGTAAGTCCCATTCTGAGAAAACTTGTCAGCACGTGTTTTACACAATGGACGAAGATCATTCTTACGAAGTGTCAATGGACTTGCCCTCCTTGATCGCGCATACAGAAGCACCACTTCCAATATGCATGGCAATCACGTTAGTCTGTTCCACTGGCTTGCTGAGAAACTGAGCTACCGAGCGCAGGATGAAGGAATAACTAATGCCATGAAATCCATATTTCCGGAGACCATTTGCCTTCGCGGTGTCCTGGTTAATTGGATACGTCTTTACATAGTCGGGCAAAGTCTGGTGGAAGGCAGAGTCAAAGAATGTGATACTTTTCACCGAAGGCAGTTCCTTTCTACAGAGTCGGATGATCTCCAAAGCAGAAAAGTTGTGTCTGTCGCCAGTCAGAAATGCATCCAGATCGAAGAAGCATGAACACTACATACAGTGGGGCTAGATCCTCGAGTTTCTCCAAGTGGTGATAGGTTTCATTGGTGATGACTACCGATCGCTCATAGTCTCCTCCATGAACAACCCGATGGCAAATGAATGCCAGGTCGTCAGTGCTGGTAACTTCGGATAGGTTTGGATCCGAGAAACACCTCTGCAGAAGGAACTTGAAAGCATCCTGCGGCGTGCTCAAATTCTCCTTGAGCTGCTCCTTGTGGTTCGTCGATCCTTGAGTGTATTTCAGTGTCGCCGGAGGAGCTGTGATCCCCGAGATCTGTGCATTGGCGACGACCTTTGGAGGCTGCTCAAAGGTGTAGAAGGTAATCTTCACCGAGGACGATCCGGCATTAACCGAGAGAATAGATTTGCGTGTCATGTTGGAAGCGACGGAATCAGGAGGGTTCAATGAGCCGAGATGTACGTATCCACCGGCTTCCAGGCTGACAGGGAGAGAAATAAGTAATCGGCTTGTGGCTTATGATGCCCCTCTCTTTCATAATTTACAACTGAAAGGTACTATTCCATTTGTTCGTTGCGGGCCAGTTTCCCTGTTGGGGTGCAGTCGGTGATGTCAAAGGACTTGCATGGTGACGTAGTTGGGGAGCCGACATCATGGACCTGGAACTACCGCCTCGAAATATATTTCCGGTCAATCCTACGAGATTCTAGGCCCGTTTAATCCAAGGATTTATACCTTAAGGCGGGGACTGTGGGATTTATCTTTCTCTCTGCGTCTGGAACCCACAGGAAAACTATTAGAACTTGTGGCATCGCCCCCCAAGCTTTACAGTTCCATTCTCCATATCTATCCATTGATCCTTTGGCGCGATCCACACTACCAGCAAACTTTATATCAAACAAGCAATATCAACACATTGCATATATCTAAACATCTTCGACGGATCACTAACAATGCCGGGAGAGACTATCGACAGGCCGAATCCTAAGGCTGAGCCGTCGCATATTCCGGATGTCGTTGAACAGCTGCATGTCCAGCTCGACCAGGCTTCCTTGGATCAATCTACCTCCGATGCTATATTGAAATTTCGCCGAGCAGCTGCTTACATTGCAGCAGGTAAGATTAGATATTTCTATATGCAAAGATCACCCGCTTATGTTCTCTAGCAATGATATTTCTGCAGGACAATGTGTTGTTGAAGCGCGATCTAAAACATGATGACATCAAGCCTCGACTACTTGGTGAGATCCTCTGAAGCTTTGTATACATCATCTGGTATAGCAACACCTTTGCTAATTCAATACCATATTTTCAGGCCACTGGGGAACATGCCCCGGGCTTATCCTCGTATATTCCCATTTGAACTACATCGTTAGGAAGCAAAACCTAGACATGCTGTATGTCGTCGGGCCGGGACACGGAGCACCGGGTCTACTTGCTTCGCTATGGTTGGAGGGTTCATTGGGGAGGTTCTACCCACAGTATTCTCGAGACAATGAAGGTCTCAAGAATCTCATATCGACCTTTAGTACCTCTGGCGGTCTGCCAAGGTTGGACTTTTCCTGGTGAAATAGCATGCAGAACTTAAGCTAACCGTTTCTATTCAGCCATATTAACGCCGAAACCCCAGGAGCCATCCATGAAGGTGGCGAGTTAGGTTATGCATTAGCTGTATCATTCGGTGCAGTCATGGATAATCCGGATCTCATTGTCACCTGCGTGGTTGGTGATGGAGAAGCAGAAACCGGTCCAACAGCGACGTGAGTTCTCGAATGATCTACATGGGTCAAGTTCTTTACTAACAAAAACAGTTCCTGGCATGCAATCAAGTACATTGACCCCGCGGAATCAGGAGCAGTTTTACCAATTCTGCATGTCAATGGGTTCAAAATCAGCGAGCGCACCATCTTTGGCTGCATGGACAACAAGGAGTTAATCTCCCTTTTCACAGGATATGGTTACCAAGTGCGCATTGTTGAGAATCTAGACGATATTGATACTGATCTCCATTGCTCTATGAATTGGGCGGTTGGGGAAATCCATAAGATCCAGCAAGCAGCCCGCTCTGGGAAGCCGATCATGAAACCCCGGTGGCCCATGATCGTGCTGCGCACACCTAAGGGTTGGTCGGGGCCCAAGGAGCTACACGGCCAATTCATCGAAGGGTCGTTTCATTCTCACCAGGTTCCTTTGCCTAATGCAAAGAAGGACAAGGAAGAGCTTCAGGCGCTCCAGAAATGGCTATCTTCCTACAACCCACATGAGCTCTTCACCGAGACAGGGGATGTTATTGATGATGTCAAGTCGATCATTCCCTCGGATGACTCCAAGAAGCTCGGTCAACGTTTCGAGGCATACAAAGCCTACAAGCCACCTAACCTTCCTGATTGGAGGACTTTCTGTGTAGAGAAGGGCATACAAGAAAGCTCGATGAAGACAATTGGGAAATTCATAGATAAAGTCTTCACCCAGAACCCACACAGTGTCCGGCTGTTCTCGCCGGATGAGTTAGAGAGTAATAAGCTGGATGCCGCTCTCGCGCATACTGGACGGAACTTCCAATGGGATCAGTACTCCAACGCGAAGGGCGGTCGTGTTATTGAAGTATTGAGTGAACATATGTGTCAAAGTTTCCTTCAGGGCTACACTTTGACCGGGCGTGTGGGTCTCTTTCCTTCCTACGAAAGCTTCTTGGGTATTGTCCACACCATGATGGTCCAATACGCCAAGTTCATGAAGATGGTACGTACCCCTTCCCTATATCCCATTTATTGACTCTCCTTAACTAGAGCGACAAACAACTAGGCCCGAGAAACAGGGTGGCACAAAGATGTAGCTAGCATCAACTATATTGAGACTAGTACCTGGACCCGACAGGAACACAACGGCTTCTCTCACCAGAACCCATCATTCATCGGAAACGTTCTCAAGCTGAAGCCTAATGCCGCGCGTGTTTATCTACCACCAGACGCCAATACCTTCTTGACGACCGTTCACCATTGCTTGAAATCCAAGAATTACATCAACCTCATGGTTGGCTCGAAGCAGCCGACACCCGTTTACTTATCACCCGAAGAAGCTGAAAGCCACTGCAGAGCTGGTGCATCGACCTGGAAATTCTGCAGTACAGATGACGGACTCGATCCAGATGTTGTTCTCGTGGGAGTCGGAGTTGAAGTGATGTTTGAAGTCATCTACGCCGCTGCAATTCTGCGCCAACGCTGCCCTGAACTTCGCGTTCGGGTGATCAACGTGACAGACCTCATGATCTTAGAGAACGAAGGAGCGCATCCGCATGCTTTGACAACCGAGTCCTTTGATAACCTTTTCACCTCCGACAAACCAATCCATTTCAACTATCACGGATACGTGACTGAGTTGCAAGGTCTGCTTTTCGGTCGGCCTCGTCTAGAGCGTGTGAGTATTGCCGGGTATATCGAGGAGGGAAGCACCACGACGCCGTTTGATATGATGCTCGCAAACAAGACCTCACGCTTCCATGTGGCGCAGGCTGCCATTAAAGGAGCGGCGAAGCGAAACGAGAAGGTCCGACTCCGTGAGCAGGAGCTGAGCGCAGAGTTGAACCACAACATTGTTGAGACACGGAAATACATTTACGCAAACCGCAAAGGTAAGTTGGCTCTTCCTTGTCTGAGTTTGATTTTCTTTGGCTGATTCAGCGTAGATCCTGATGACATGTATGAGATGCCACGATTCGAATGAGTCTACGGTCTAGAGGAATAAGCAGAAGTTACATAGCCACAGCAAAATGAATTCGAATGAATTCGCCATCGCATGATAGATCTACTTGGTATTAGTTGGCGACAGTGGAAAGATGATATTTATATTTTTACTTTCTTCCAGATTCGAATGAATGCATCCAGTTCCGGGCACTGCAATCTTGGCCGATTACTTTGTGGATTCTCGACCTCATGATTGGCCTTCGACTATGCAGGTCATTCATTACCCCTCTAGTACTACTGTTTAGTACATAGTCATAAGTAATCCTTTTCAGCCTCGCCTCCATTACATCTTGACTTTCCCTTCTTCCCTCCTCACAAATTATCAACAACGCTTGATACAGTTGTGTGTATATGATCCACCGGAAATTGGAAAATGCGCCTCACGCACGATGATTATACAGTCGCATGGATCTGTGCCCTGCCACTGGAAATGACTGCCGCGAAGGTTATGCTGGATACATCACACCCTTTATTGCCACAGGCAGAAAACGATTATAATAGTTATACCCTCGGAAGTATTACTGGCCATAATATTGTGGTGGCCTGTTTACCGTCTGGTGTATATGGAACAATAGCCGCCTCGACGGTAATATCTCAGCTGTGTTCCACCTTCCCAAGAATCCAGTTCGGATTGATGGTTGGAATCGGAGGGGGTGTTCCTAGTACCGGGACTGATATTCGCCTCGGCGATGTTGTAGTGAGCAAGCCAACGCCTACTTCCTGTGGCGTGATACAGTATGATTACGGTAAATCCATGCACAATGGACGGTTCCAGCGCACAGGCTCTCTCAACAAACCTCCCCGGGTTCTATTAACCGCCATCTCTCAGATGCAGAGCGATGATATAATGGGGAATCGACCAGTTCACGGCATAATATCGAGTATCTTGCTCAAAAATCAAGCAATGCAGGAACAATTCTCCCGACCACATGAAGATCTATTGTTTAATGCCCAATGTAACCATCAGACCGGCGCCCTAGACTGCTCTAATTGTGATCGCGGCAAGATAATAGCTCGTGACCCGAGACCTATGGATGGTCCCTACATCCATTACGGCTTAATTGCTTCGGGAGACCAGGTTATGAAAGATGCTACTACCCGCGATATCATTGCGCAAGAGAGTGGCATGGGTGTTCTCTGTTTTGAGATGGAGGCGGCCGGTCTAATGGACCAGCTACCGTCTCTTGTGATTCGCGGTATCTGTGATTACTGTGACTCCCATAAGAACAAAAGTTGGCAAGGCTATGCCGCCATTGTGGCTGCTGCCTATGCTAAGGCTCTCTTATCCGTGGTTCCGGTCCACTATCACAACCTGGAGTTACGCAAAACCAAGGGGAAAGCATGGATGGTCCCATTCAGGAAGAACCCACGCTTCATAGGCCGTGAGTCCGAGATTGCAGAACTTGAGCGACGGATAGAGAAATCGCAAGGGCCGTCTAGGATTGCGATCTGTGGGTTAGGCGGAGTTGGAAAGACCCAAATTGCACTTGAATTGGCATATCGTTTACAAAGCAGGCACTCCGATTACTCAGTCTTCTGGATTCCATGTACGAGCCACGAAAGTGTGGAACAGGCATACTTGACTCTGGCACATATACTAGGAATGCACAATGCACAGCCTGCAGAGGCGAAAAACAGTGTGAAGGCTTATCTTAGCCAGAGAACGGGACGATGGCTTCTAATCTTTGATAATGCGGATGATATAGATATGTGGATCCAAAGCTGCACCGGTAACCCTAACCCAGTTCTGGTCGATTTCTTGCCTCAGAGTGATCAAGGCCGTATTCTATTCACGACTCGGAATCGAAAGCTAGCTGTAAAGCTGGCATCGTCTAATGTAATAGATATTTCCGAGCCCGATATAGAAACTGCTACGAAAATCCTTGACAATCTATTGATTAAGAAAGACTTACTTGATGACAGTGATGCGACCAAGACTCTGATCGAACAGCTGGCCTTTCTTCCTCTGGCAATAGCCCAGGCAGCAGCATATATCAATGAAAATGATATTAAATTTACGGAATATGTTACGCTTCTGCAGGAGCCAGAGCCAGAGGTGATTGAGCTGCTGAGTGAAGACTTTGGAGATGGGGAGCAAGATAAATACGCGAATCCTGTTGCTACTACCTGGTTAATCTCATTTCAACAGATTCAGAGTTTGAACCAGTTAGCAGCGGATTATCTCTCATTTATGGCTTGTATAAGTCCTCGCGACATCCCACAGTCACTGCTTCCTTCGGCCATATCAAAAAGGAAGAAAATTGAAGCAATCGGCCTTCTTAAAGCATTCTCATTCATAAATGAGCAGGCTGAGGGCTTCCTGAGTCTCCATCGACTTGTATATTATGCAACTCGAAATTGGATGAGAAGCAACCAGCAGCTTGACCCGTATATTAAGAAAACCGCAGACCAGCTCAGTCATGTCTTTCCAACTGAAGATCATACGAATCGCAAGATGTGGAGACAGTATCTACCTCACGCTGTAGCATTGATTACTCAAAGCGAGTTCCAGAAACAACAGGAAACATATGCTGCATTGCTTGAACAGATTGGAATGTGCCTGTATCGGGATGGAAGGTATGGTGAAGCAGAAGGCCCAGTGTTACGGGCAATGGACATCAACGTACAGATGCTAGGACGAGAAAATACTTCTACTCTTGATAATATGGCCAGACTTGCGTGGATATACATGAAGCAGGGCCGAAGGAAGGACGCAGAAGAACTACAAGTAGACGTACTGGCGACTAGCAGGAGAGTCCTAGGACCAAAGGATCCTGATACTCTGTCCAGTATGTCTGACTTAGCATGCACATACCATGAACAGGGTCGACAGAAAGAATCAGAAGAACTACAAATACAGGCGCTGGCAGCCCTCAAGGAGACTCTGGGGCCAGAAAATGCTGTGACTCTAACGAGTATGAATAATCTAGCGTCTGTATACAGGCACCAGATGCGTTGGAAAGAAGCAGAAGACCTTGAGTTGCAAGTTATAAAGCTCCGTAAGCGAGTACTAGGTTCAGACCACCCCGACACAGTGACCGCCATGAACAATATGACGATCATATACGATGCACAGGGAAGATGGAGGGAGGCAGAAGAACTAGGGGCACAGGTAGTAGAGGCGCGGAAAATGATTCTTGGTGAAGAACATCCTGACGCTTTGGCAAGCATGGCTAACCTGGCGTTGATATACCGAGATCAGAGGCGGTGGAAGGACGCCGAGGATCTGCTGCTGAAGGCAATAGAGATCCAGAAGGAGGTGTTCGGACCAGAGCACCCGGACACACTTAACAGTTTGGAATGTCTAGCATCTACCTACTGGAGCCAGAGACGATGTAAGGATGCAGAGGAGATATATTTCGACCTGGTGGAAACCTGCAAGCGCGTGCTAGGGCCCGAGCACCCTGAGACTGTGAGAATTATGGTCTGGCTAGCGCGCATATACTGGCATCAACGGCAGTGGAAGGAGGCAGAGGAGCTGCAGTTTCACATCTTGGAGACCCGCAAGCGTGTACTGGGGCCAGAGCATCCAGACACATTGGCGGCTATGCATAATCTAGCCCTTACTTGGAAATCTCGACAGAAGGTTAGAGAAGCGTTGGCGTTAATGGAAGAATGTGTTGCTCTTCGAAATAGTGTATTAGGGCCCGATCATCCAAATGCACTACGCTCCTCCCACAAGCTTGACGAGTTCAAAAAAGCAGATCACTTATTAGATACAAACCAACGGACGTCTGCTCAAGTGGGAATCGAACAATCTATGAAAGAAATCTCCACAGCTATAGTGACCACAGCATCAGAAACCAAGCATACCAACCGGGCTAAAGGTTTAACGACCGCTATCAGATGGCCACCCGAAAGCCACCCCCTCCTCATTGCTTCTAGAAGCAATTCGTCTCTGTCCAAAGCTCACGACTTACGAGAAGTTGATTGAGTGATGTCATGGTCGGTCGAAATCTATGAATCAATACACTTAGAATCAACGTCCCCCCGCGCCGGCTTCAGAATTCCGAGGATACAATTACGGCAATTGACGCCGTAATCAATGCATGCTTTGATTAGGAAGGGGAATCGTTCCTGTCGCCATGTCGGCCATCAAGGCTTGTGTCTTCGCCTTTTTACTCTTGCGGCAGTGTATCCAAAGAAAGTCTATTGCCAACGTCTTGAATCCTGAACCAGGCGTGTCAGGGTTTGTTGCAATGTGCGAATTGGAGATGGTTGAGAAGGAGGTAGCCCCGGGTCTTCTGGGGTTCTTGAGATTGACCCCATAGCTATTCATACCTATCTAGGTAAAGCAAGTGGAAGCGAAGGATTGATGAGTTGATACCAGATGATGAGATTCACTGTACTTGATAATAAGTACACTTATACAGCTTAAGGCCAGGTGTCACGTCGCTTCGCATATCGACCCCTCTTTATCTAGTACCACGCGCAACCCGCGTGTGAATAGCATGAAGGGACAGTTCTATGGCAGGGCTCTTCAACTTCCAAGGAAGTTCAAAGTTCAAGTTCAATGGTCTCAAGGTTCTCCTAATCCGGTTAGACCGAGAATCTTCTGCCAAGAAATGCAACGCCTCAGGCCCACCTGCACCCCCGTCGAATTCACAACATCGATTGTGCGGACATCCTTCTGCCAATATCTCAACAAGATGTATGCAATCACACCTTCGCTTTGTTAAACCACAGGGACTTAACTATGGATATATTGATTCAGATGAGATATCTCCTTCCCTGCCAAGCTCCAATGAAAGCTTCGCACTTGCCAAGGCTGGGAAGCAGTGTACTATGAAACTATCCGGATCAATGGCGAATGCCCAGCATCGTCGAGGAGACAAAGCTGTGACTACATGATTCAGCCTCAGTTACACGCCTGACTCTATCGGCATAAAGGATCTGATATAGCGCCACGATCCTACCATCCTACAACATGACTGGAGAAGCACGGTCTACCGGATGTATCTCCGATACTCTCATGAAACTGTTACGAGATGCCCTAAACCCAATTTGGCGGACCTTGCGAGTACTTTCAGGCCCAGGGCCGAACTCCGAACAGAATATGTTGGAGCCTTCGACCAATTTGCCGAATGAAGTTGCGGCCCGAATAAGGGATTATCCACAGGGTTCAATCAGAATGCGTCTTGCAACGGGTGTCTCCGCCGTATTCCACCGTTACGTCAATTGCGAGCGCGGGTTATTGGATCCATCCGGAGCCCGATTTTGAGTCTATGGCCCTGTAAGAATTTGAAGATTTTCACGATGCGAAGATATATCCTGTGTGACTTGTCTCGTTTTTCTCTGCCTCGTAATCCATACTACATGGGCTTCTTGCTCAGCCACTCGTTTACTTGTTCTTGACCTGTTTTCACAGTGGTCCCATGTATAATCTGGACGCTGCCTAGTCATTCATTCGGATATAAGATTGTGCTTTTCGCGTCAGTCTCTGGCAACTTGATAATACAACTGCCTGTGATCAACTACACTTGCATTGACATTGGCATCGGGCGAACTAAACCCTACAAACTGCAGATTATCCCCAATTGTCTTGAATATGTCGGCCGATCAAGAGTTCGAATTCAAAAAATGGCTCTCCACGAGCTGCCATCCTCTCATAGACGGCATGGATACTGCGTACGGCTATCAGCCGTCGCTGGCTGCAGGCATCGTCTTTCTCGTTCTCTTCGGTCTCTCGATGATCGTTCACACAATCCAGTTTACCTGGAAAAGAACCTGGTGGTGTGCTGTCTTCAGTATTGGTTGTCTGAGTGCGTACCGTCCCAACCTCCAGTGACCTGGATAATATACTGACGGCAAACCAACACAGCGGAGGTCCTGGGCTGGGCCGGACGTACCTGGTCCTCAGAATGTCCTTATAACATGACAGCCTTCCTGATGCAAATCTCCACCCTAATCATCGGTAAGCAAGCACAGAAAAAACAGACCCCCAACCGATCTGCCTATCCTCGAGGGGAAGAAAAGGCACTAACCAACCAATCTAGCTCCCACATTCTTCACAGCAGGCATCTACGTCCTCCTCGGCCGCTTCATCCAAATCCTCGGCCGTGACTCCTCCATCCTCAGCCCGAAAATGTACCTCTGGATCTTCTGCACCTGCGACGTCATCTCGCTCGTCATCCAAGCCATCGGCGGCGGCATCGCCTCCGCCGAAACAAACAAGGAAGACGGCGACACAGCCCCCGGCACCCACATCATGGTCGCCGGTATCGTCTTCCAACTGTTCTCGATCACTATCTTTGTCGCCTGCGCTGCCGATTTTGTCCGCCGCGTCCTCCGTCGTCGTCTTCTGCAGAACATGAGCGGATCCATCACCCCCCTGTTCGCCGCCATGGTCTTCTCCGTGCTTTGTATCTACGTCCGAAGCATCTACCGTACCATAGAGTTGTCGCAAGGTTGGACCGGGTATCTGATTACCCGGGAGAAGTACTTCATTGCGCTTGATGGCGCGATGATGGTGGCTTCTGTTGGCGTCTTTAATATCTTCCATCCCGGCTGGTTGATGCCGAGTACCAAGGCGATGCAGTATGACCGGGAGATTATGTCTGAGGATGGTTATGGTCATACTACTGAACTTCGGTGAAGTACTGCGTTCCTTTTTGCCCTTTCCTTTTCGTTTTGGTTGGAGTCGGCATTGTTGCTTTCTTATGTAGCGAGTGCTTAGATTCTAGATTCTAGATCGTTGGTCTTCAAGGATAACGAAAATAATGTTTCAATATATAATTGAATACGAAACCTGTTCAGCATATACTTTCAGGTCAATTTCGGGAAAACTCATTCACCACAAAAACGCTCGAGATAAACAACTAGTGATACAAAAGGATAAGTAAGATACGAGTGATGAAAAGAGAAGAGAAAAGGAGGAAACATAAGAGAATAGAATCGGATATAACCTGAAGCGCCAAAGCTAAACATCATTTCGAAGGATCAAGGTGAAAAGGTCATGACAAGAGTTTCATCCATCCCAGGTCATCAGGGGGGAAACATAAAGGAAGCGCTTTTCGTCGTGGTCACATTTCATACTACTAATCCCGAGTTCATCAACCGAGCAATCATACCCCATCAACTGCCTCGATCCAACCAAAAGTCGCTCCAACAGCTAAAATTGCGACAGCCCAGATTGAACCCCAAGCAGACGCACCCTCGATGGTAACTCCCTCAATGGTTCCTGCCAACTGGACAATGGTGTTACTGAGCAGCATGGCTGCGAGAAGTACCGTTCGCGAGATAAGAACTCTCGTCTTGGGCGAGAGTGCTCCCCAGGTCTTCCGATAAACTGCACAGGCGAGGTACTCGCCCTCGTGCGATGTGGAGCTCTTTTCGGTCGATTCGGTCCTCTTAGGCGCGGCCGCGCCAGTGGAACTAACGAAAAGGAGATCTCTCGCCGCCCAGCCGGCTGGGAGGAGGGCGAGGAAGAGGGTTGGCAGACCTGCGGGACCGGCGTGAACGGCGCTAATGTCGGGGATGTTCTCGAAGTGGAGGACTAGTTGTGTTGGGAACCAGGTCGCATAGCTTAGGTATAGAGCGACAGTCAGAATCGATGTCGCGGCGATAGTGGTATAAATGGTTGTCGCGCGGTCCTGAAGGATGGAGCGGTTGCGAACTGCATCGGAAGGAGCATGCGACAGGTCGTGCACGCAAGTCGGTTTGCGCAGGAGTACAAAGGGGACTGAGGTTGAGAATAAGATGATCGCATAAGAGATCAAAACCGTGGTGGGGCGGATGTTGTAGAAAGATGCTAGGAGTGCGTAGGTGGGGAGGTGGGTAAGGAACATGAATGACGACACATCTCGTCCTGCAGGAGTCGGTCAGCCCTCTTTGAACGCATGGAAATGTAAGCAGTTCGAAAATAAAGTAAGCTCACCATCAAAGCCCAAGATCCAGGCTAACCCAACCTCTACTGCCTTCCAAGCCGTCAAGCCCCCCACTTCCCACCATGCTTCGAGATGTCTGCTCACGCCGCCCAGTTCGCCAAGGGTAGCTCCAGACGTGAAACTGAAGAATCCAGCACTCAGCGTCAGGCTACTCAGGACGACCAACACAAAGCGCGCTGACTGGGGAATCCGGTCCAACTGAGTCTTCTGGCGCAGATCGTTTGCCGGCTTGTCTGCGTTATCTGCAGTCGCTGTCACAGAAGATAAGACGTCCTTCTTGCGAGGGGTCATGGTTGGGTATTTTGTGTTAGTAGTACAAAATCCAGCGAGCTTGTGAGTTGATAAAGGAATGAGTTGGAGCAGAGCGCAATGTTAAGCTGAAGAAATTTGTTGTAGAAGTAGATTATATACATATTCATGGAGGCTGGGGGCCGATTTTCTGGCGAGCGGTGAGCATGTGATGATGTCACTGCTTCCCTGATGCGCCCAACCAATCAGAACACCCAGGATCCTGTTTTCTAGTAAGTAGTATTCGGTGATATCATAGGGTTGGGTGTAGAGCAAAGATACATACAGGAATTACTATGTCACAGATAGGCTCAGGAGTATATCCAGTAATTACATTGTTTTTCAATGGCTGATGATGGCTTCAACTCTGACCTCGCCTTTCAGTATGCTTCAATCAGTCGTCCTCATCCTCTTTCTGGCCCTCCACCACCGTGAACTCAGCAACACCATTATCGCGACCATTGGGATCCCGCATAGCAAGCTGGTATTTGCCCTGGTTCCAGAGATCTTTGATGGTGAGCTCACGGGTTCGTCCAAGACTCTCAATATCACCAATTCGCTCCAATGTTCCCTCCAGGTGCTTGTCAAATCCTTCCCAAGAACAGATTTCTCGGAAAGCATTCTGCATAGGAACAGAATCGGCTCGGACCATAGCTCGAGAATCGATTGTAAAGATGTTGTCATGATCGTAACTTTGGATAAAGTCCGCTCTTGTCATAACTTCCCGCGCCTTATGCAGCGGTATCTCTGGTAGAATATGGCCAATCTCCGGGTCATAGGTTTTCTCCATCTCCTTCTCCTGGTCGACAAGCGCTTTGGCGAGAACCATCGCGGCAGACTGTCATCGTCTTTGGTTAGAGTGTTCTCATGGTATCCCGAGGCACTTATTGTACTTACAGAGTACTTCTGCTCATCCATGACGTCGTCATCCATTTCCGGTCCAAGGATCCAGCATTTGTTGAGGAACCATCTCTTCTCGGCCTCACATATTCCATCACAGAGTTTCATATAATCTTTGGCCTTGGCCACCCGGTTCAGGAAGGACAAACGTCCACCAACTTTGTTGTAGATTTCTTCAAGTACTTCGTTCGATAATTCCTCACCAAAGTACTTCTTGCGATACCTCCGTAGAGCGTCCATCGCTCGTTGCTTGGGTAGATCCGAAACAGGGATGACTTCCATCCTGGTGGCGTATCGCTTGAGGCGTTCATATACCCAGTAATCATCACTGTTGAGGACTGCAATTTCGGTATTGTCAGGGTCTATACTAGAAGCAAGAAGAGGGAGTGCAGTTTACCTGTCGTCACCAAGTTGCTAGCCGCCCATTGTTCCGCTCTCTGTTGAATCATTTCCAGGAGATCCTGACCATCATGATCATCCCTCACCAGGTGAGTACTATTAATGATCAAAATCAAAGCTGGTAATCCCTCACGTCTACGCATAAGCGCCACCTTCTCTAACTTGTTGAATGCGCGCTCAATGTCCAAGAGAGGGGTGGTATCTCGAGGACCCTTAATGCTAAAAAGACTTCCAATGTAGCTGGTACCATCTGTCAGCAGTTGCAAAAAGGAGGGCCATAAAGTAACCTACTCTTCATGGAACTCAAAGTCCAACGCTTTCCCTAGCCTAGTTCGGAAAATTTCAAGATCACCATGTGCTTCAAACATAGCACAACCCTCGCCATCAATCTTGCGCATCGCCTCTAGGAGCATAGATGTCTTTCCAGTGCCTTTCTCACCAATGAGCAGGAAATAACGGCCACCAGCGCCACCAGCGATGATTCGATCCATCCTGGGTTGTTCGTCGCGGACAACCCAGTGCTCCTCATGGTGATACTGATGTTTTCCTGATTCTACACCCGCAACTTCGAGTGCTGGATCGCCCGGCTTGAAGGCATTTTCCATCTTTTCCAAAATCAGATACTTGTAGTACCGGTGATACGAGTAGCCCGCAATACTGGAACGTCGTCAGTAAGCAACCAAGCGCAGCATGGGAGGCCGCTAGGTAGCATACCCTAGAACGGCAATAGAAGCAAAAGTAGTGGCGGCGGTCTCCATCATTTTTAGGATAGTAGATCTGAATGTTGGCTCTCCGTCGTTGCCGTTGGATCGGGCTCCGTCATCTCCTGCATCTTGCTCCAGGGGGTTTGGGGCAGCTTGGTAGGAGCCCTGTGAGAAATGCATTCCCGATTTATATGGAGCTACTCCAATGGCCCTCAACGGTCTCGACAGGCTAAGGCGGCCCGAGGAGAATATTGGCAGGGATCGTGGAACATATCGGTATACCGGCATCGCTCATATACACCGTAGATTAAATGAACGCCACGGGATGTATCAATGCAATGAATAATCTTTTTAAGAAAAGAAAATAAACAACAACGATTACAAACGTCAAAGGCAAATCAAACTGGAGGTTCCAAAGATTGTAAGGAAATTACACGCGTCGACTATAGTAATAGGGGGATTAATGACGTAGTGGATACATGAAAAGGAGAACTGGCGAGTAAAGAATCAAACACCGATTGAATACCAGCACAGAGCCTCAAAGAAAGATGAGGATAAACGAGAGTCGTCTAGTGGGTATTGAATAAGAAAAGGAAAGACAGCACCACACAAAAAGAAGGTGAGGTGGAAGCTTGGACCCAATCTTTCAATTTCCAGACAAAGATATTCTCCGGTGCTGCGCCCCCGATCGCATGGAGATCGACTGTGGCTTTGGACGACTCTAATTTGTTGGGAAGTGTGGCTGACGGCGAGGTCGGTAAACTCTGCCGAAGTGTCGGTAAGTCAAGCGGAAAGCCTCCATGGAAGAGAAGAAAGAGTTAAAATATGTTAATATGGAGTATGTACATCGTGATAGCCGTTGTATGAATATATGTCCTTCAACAATTGATATACCTGAGCTAGATACTTCTACTACTTATCTTGAAGGTATTTTACATCCTTCTAGTACCTCCACCAGGTACCTCTAGAGGCATTTCGAATGACTCAAGGAGAGAAAAGAGGGATCTATGAACATCACTACTGTGTACTACTAGTAGGTGGAGAGTAGCATACGGGGTGCTTGAGACCAATTAATGGAAGACACAGTTCACGCGTACGATACATACCATCCACAGCCCTACTTGGGATTTGTGCCCATCCTACAGAGTATACTCCGGCGTAGGTGTAGGACTTGACCACATAACGTGGCACACCCCAAGAGAAGCGAATTAGAGAGTCAATTGATAAATTACATTATTCACGAGAAAGATATTCTGTTCCAAGAGTGGATCTGGTTTAATTTGGGGTCAATTGAACGGTATGTGTGGAGATCTTGATACTTTTCTTTCCCTTTTTGTTACCTGAACAACCTTCCCAATGTAATTCCTATTACCATACCCATTCCTCCGCCCCGAGCACTTCCGAGGGTATTCCGCGCGAAATTTTCTCTTTGCCCGGCTTCCCCATTGCTTTCTCCAGCTTCAACCATTTTGCATCCTGTCATTATTTTCCATATTTGGGGTATTGTTCTGTTTCCCTTCATTCGTCTGGGTACGGGGTTTGTTTTTACTATATTCAATTGCCCTTGTACTTGTATATCATACCTTATTTTCATTCTACATTCTTCCCCGACGCCGACAACTTTTTTTCCCTCTTCCTCTTTTTCCTAATTCCTTTCCCCAGCCGGGTCTGAAGCTCGAGACATTCCGTCAGGTTGTAGCTTCAGCTTTAAGCCTTATATTTTCTTTTGAAACCTACCTTTATTACCAAAACATCGATCATAATGGCCCAGACCAATGGAGAGTTGGAGCACTCGAAAGGTATGTGCACATTTGTGATCTTCAAAATTCACAGTGCGTAAGGTGCGATAATCTAACCGCCATAGCAGAGACTCCGGAACAACTTACCAACGGAAACCACCCCGAGGGAGCTCAGGAAGAGGAGCAGAATGGAGGTATGCCACGTCACAACTGGGATACTGTTGTCGTCGTTTGAAGACTAACACCGCTCCGAATTGAAAGGCCTTTTCCAGATCTCCGTGAAGCTTCCTCACGAACCTTATAAGATTCAGGTGATGGTGGGTGTTTGAAACCAATTAACATCTAAATGATCGCAGACATTTAACAGATTGCCTAACTGTTCTGTCCCTCCATAGGTGTCAAGCCAGGAGCAAGTTCAGGATGTCCGACAGTCGATTGTCGAGCTTCCCAGCACCTTCCAGTATACTTGCTTCCACCTGGAGTTCAACGGCAACCGTATCAATGACTTTGTCGAGCTGTCTGAAGTTCCCGACTTGAAGGCTGATTCGGAAATCGTCCTTGTGGAAGACCCATATACCGAGAAGGAATCCCGCATGCACGTTATCCGAATGAGAGAGCTGGTCGGAGCTGCAGGCGACCGTGTCGACAACCTCCAGGGTATCAGCGCCGGTCTGTCGCTGCACGATTCCATCTCCGAGGAAGCCGCTGCCGGAGAGACTGCCGAGAAGGAGCACTCGTTGTCCAAATATGACATTACCGGCTCACCATCTCTCAATACCATTCTCCCTAAAGCAGAGGCTCCTCTTCCCAAGACCGTTAAGTCGATTTCGCTATCACCATGGAATCCTGTTCCCTACCATCTCCGCCAAAAGGGTCACCTGCTCTACCTCCAGGTCACCACCAACGAGGGAGAGCAATTCCAGATCACTTCTCACGTTTCTGGCTTCTTCGTGAACAAGTGCTCTAATGCTAGGTTCGATCCGTTCCCCAAGCCCATGCCGAAGAAGGGCAGCGCCCACTCTCTTCTTACTCTGATCTCTCACTTGTCTCCTTCTTTCAACGCCTCCTTCGAAGCGCTGCAGGAGGCCAACAACAAGAAGGACCTTTTGACTACTTTCCCCTTCCAGAACGCTATACCCAACAGCCCATGGCTCGTTGCTCCTCCTACGTCAAGTGTGAACGCCCATCAACCTGATATCACACGGTCACAAGAGAACTACTTGATCTCTGGTGTCGACAACGCGGAAACCTTGCGAGACTGGAATGAGGAGTTCCAGACCACGCGAGAGTTGCCTCGTGACACCGTTCAGGACCGTGTTTTCCGAGAGCGCTTGACCTCCAAGCTATTCGCGGATTATAACGAGGCCGCGGCTCGCGGTGCCGTTCTGGTCGCCAAGGGTGAAGTTGCTCCCCTCAACCCCACTGAGGGTCGCGATGCTCAGATCTTTGTGTACAACAACATCTTCTACTCCTTCGGTGCTGACGGTGTCGGAACTTTCGCTTCCGAGGGCGGCGACGAAGCTGCTCGCGTAGCTGTCGGCAAGGACGTTGTAGGAATCAAGGCGGTCAACCAGCTGGATATCAACGGCCTGTTCACACCCGGAACTGTCGTCGTGGACTACCTTGGAAAGCGTATTGTCGGTCAGAGTATTGTGCCTGGTATCTTCAAGCAGCGCGAACCTGGTGAGCACCAGATTGATTACGGTGGTGTTGAGGGCAAGGACGTCGTGGCTACCCACCCCGATTTTGCCCCTGTCTTTGAAAAGCTCTCCAAGGCCCTCCGGATCAAAAAGCACGCTGTCTGGGATAAGGAAGGCAAGCGTCACGATCTGGAAGGCAGTGTTGAGACCAAGGGTTTGCTTGGTACGGACGGCAGAAAATATGTGCTCGACCTCTACCGCGTTACTCCTTTGGATGTCATGTGGCAGGAAGAAGAAGGAAGTGATGCCTACCCTCATAACATGTCGGTCTTGAGATTGGAACTTGTTGAATCCTACTGGAGGCACAAGATGAGCCAGTATGTAAAGACTGAGGTTGAGCGCCGTCGCGCCGCCAAGGCTGAGGAAGCCGCTTCTAAGGAGAAGTCTGAAGAGACCAAGGAGGAAGGTTCCGAAGAGAAGAGTGAGGAGGCAGCGGACCAGGAGCGGGTTGACATCTCTGGGTTCTCTCTTGCCTTGAACCCTGACGTCTGCAGTGGCCAGATCCCTCAGACCGACGAAGAAAAGGAGCAGTGGGCTCAGGATGAGAAGGAGGTCCGTGAGACTTGCGACTTCCTCCGTTCCAAGGTGATGCCTGAGCTGATCCAGGATCTCCACGACGGTGATGTCGGCTTCCCCATGGACGGACAGTCCCTTAGTCAGCTTCTGCACAAGCGTGGTATCAACATCCGCTACCTTGGCAAGTTGGCTCAGATGTCCAAGGAGAAGGGCGCTCGTCTGGATGCTTTGACCATCCTGCTTGTCCAGGAAATGATCGCTCGTTCCTTCAAGCACATTGCCAACGGTTACTTGCGCAACGTGGCTGCGCCATTTACCGCCTCCTGCATTGCCCACCTCCTGAACTGTCTCTTGGGTGCTGATGTCAACTCGAACCCTCAAGCTGATATCGACGCATCTCTGCGGGAGATCTATCCAGAGGCTGACTTCTCTTTCGAGAAGGTCACTCCGGCGACTCTGCGGGCTGAGATTGAGAAGCATGTCTCTATCCGGTACCGTTTCACCCCTGAGCCTGAGTGGTTCAACTCTTTGCGACACCTGCAGCTGCTTCGTGATATCTCCATCAAGCTTGGTCTTCAGCTTAGCGCCCGCGAGTATGCTTTTGCCAAGTCCCAACTTCCCGCTAAGGTTCCTGCTAAGGTTCCTGCTACCAACAGCGCCAGCCAAGAGGAAGGCAAAAAGAAGAAGAAGAAGGGCGGCGATTCCAAGTCTCCGGCTCGTGCTGCCTCTCCCGAGAAGCCTACTGTATCCATCGTTCCTGACGACATTGTCAACATTGTGCCTCTGGTCAAGGATGCCTCGCCCCGAAGCTCCCTTGCTGAAGAGGCCCTGGAAGCTGGACGTATCTCCCTTATGCAGAACCAGAAGCAGCTGGGCCAGGAGCTCATTCTGGAATCTCTGTCCCTGCATGAGCAGATTTACGGCATCCTCCACCCAGAAGTTGCCAAGCTCTACCACCAGCTGTCCATGCTTTACTACCAGACTGATGAGAAGGAAGCTGCTGTCGAGCTGGCTCGGAAGGCTGTTATCGTCACTGAGCGCACTCTCGGTGTTGATTCGGCTGACACCATCTTGAGCTACCTTAACCTTAGTCTGTTCGAGCATGCCTCTGGAAACACCAAGACTGCTTTGGTTTATATTAAGCACGCTATGGATCTATGGAAGATTATCTATGGACCCAACCACCCCGATTCCATCACCACCATGAACAACGCCGCTGTAATGCTGCAGCACCTCAAGCAGTACTCAGACTCTCGGAAGTGGTTCGAGGCTTCATTGACTGTGTGCGAGTCCCTCTTTGGCAAGCAATCCATCAACACTGCTACTATCTTGTTCCAGCTGGCACAGGCTCTTGCTCTCGACCAAGACTCCAAGGGAGCTGTTGGCAAGATGCGCGATGCCTACAACATCTTCCTTAGCCAGCTGGGTCCTGAAGACCGCAACACTAAGGAAGCTGAGACATGGCTGGAGCAGCTCACCCAGAATGCCGTCTCTATCGCCAAGCATGCCAAGGATATCCAGGCTCGCCGTCTCCGCCGTATCAATATGAACACCCGGACTCTTGGTACTAAGGTCCAGCCTCAGGTCGGCCAGTCCGCACCTTCGGCATCCGGAGCCAGCTCTGCCAACCCTTCATTGGACTCGCGAA